GTGCATGGACTTTTAGGTCTCCTGCTGATTCTGGAATCTGGCTTGTGTCTCTGGATTTGCCACTCCCTGGCTTGAGAGAAGTGGGGAAGGAATGTATGAATGTGGGTGAGTGTTGTGACTTCTCCTGTTTTGCATCTGGATGACCTGGATGAAATGGAGAAAGTGGTAGCCATTAGAAGTCTTCCTCAAAAGAATAGAAGTATGCACTCCCCAAAACCCTGAACTGGGGGTATGGGGGGATCCATCACTGGAGGTTTTCAAGGAACCTTCTAGAAACAGCGTATTTGGGAACCTTATTGCCGCCTACTCTCTTCAGACGACCAGGAACCAAATGGTGTCATGCTACTCATGACTAGACAGACTTTTCTCACTACTGAAGAAAAAGTGCTTTCCGCCCATCCTTGAGTGGACGCAAATCAGGAGCAAGATCTGCATGAAATTGATAAGATAGTGGACCCTGTTTTCCCTATTGTGTCCAATCTTCCCACCATGTTGGCTGACATATTGGCAGATGTCACTCTCTTTACAGTAATGGAGTTATATTCTGTCTTCTTCTCTGTTCTGGTACATCCAGAGACCTAATACCTGTAGGGCATCCAATGTACTTAGATCTGGGCTTTCCAGGGATATTGTGAAAGTTCTGCGTGGTGCAGGACTCTATCCTGAGGCCTGTCCAGGGGGCTCTGTTGCGCTCCTTTCATTTCTTGGCTGCCAGGGACAGAAAGCCGTTTTGCCAAACTCAGTTTAATAAGCTGGGACATTTGTTACCAGCTGGATTACGGCAATTCATTCCAGAATGAAATCAAGCCGTTCTCCATGTTACCCCACCAAACTCTGTATCCAAGCGACAATCCCTTCTTGGCTTGGTTGGGTACAGCCATGTGTGGGTTATGGATTCTGGACTCCTAGCAGCCCCTTGAAATGCCTCGCTTTCTCACCACGTTCCCTTCCAGTGGACTGAGGAAACTGAGAAAGCTTTCGGGCAATTGCAGAAGGCGTTTACCAACTGCCCCGTGTTGGATCTGCCCAACTGTAACTTGTCATTTTTGCCTTATACTCATGAAGGCAAGGGGACAGTTACAGGGGCCGTCACCCACGCACAATGACCATTGTACGTTTTCTTACAAACATGATCTAGTGATCCAGGCATACCCACCCTGCTTGTGAGCAATCGTCACAGTGCTACTTTGAAAAAAGTTATTTGTTGGTGCTTGGAAACCCCTCACCGTTGCTGTGCTACTGATAGCTCCTCCTCAACCCATCCCTGCTGTGCATCTGCACAAACCTCATCTTTTTAGGATTTGGACTCCTAACATTACCATCACTCATCCTCCTTCCCGTAACCCTGCTACCTTTACCCCTTCCTGTTGATAGAATGGAGAAGCTCACAATGGCCGTGGCCTCACAATCTTAGCTATGAAGCACTGAATTGACTTGGAAGAAACACCACCATAAAATTCAAATTGCGCCTCGAGGGTTTTGCCTTCATAATGCCCGAAGGAAGGAAGGAAGGGATACAGCTGGCTACGCTCTCACCTTCTTGTCAGCACTGGCAAACTTCTGCCCGGCATTTGTGCTCAAGCTGCTGAGATCTATGCTTGTCGGTTTGCTTCAGTACAGACTGTCTACATCTACGCTGTTTCTAGATGTTTTGGCTTGTGCATGATTATGCACTGTCTGGG